AGAATTGCCTGAACCCAGGAGGCAGAGGTTGCGGTGAGCCGAGATCGCGCCATTGCACTCTAGCCTGGGTAACATGAGTGAAACTCCGTCTCAAAAAAAAAAAAAAATAATAATAATAATAATCAGTGGGAATAACAAAGATTACAGGGAAGTTAGAAATCTATTAAAAATAAAGCAGTACAGTTGGGAGGTAGCTTTTAGGTCTAGGAGCATTTGTTTTCCACATACATGTATTATAATACAATTACAATATAATTCAAGCCCCAAATCCCTAAAACTTCATCACAAGTGGTGCCTTAAGCAGAATCATATAGACAGCAAGAAGTGGACTGATGTCATCATTGGGTCAACTGCAATGAGTGGCATTCTTCTTGAAAAATCTTCAAGCAAAATCAAAGGGACTGATGCATGAGGTTTCTCAATAAAATAAGTTGTGATTTTAGAAAGATTCTGGGGAATAAAACAACAGTCTGTTTATAAAATCATAATTCGGACAACAGTGGGTGAATATGTTATGAAGAAACATTTTGTATTTTTTTTCTGTAAAAGAACCTGGGATGGCCGGGTGAGGTGGCACCCACCTATAATCTCAGCAATTTGGGAGGCCAAAGTGGGCGGATGATCGGGAGTTTGAGACCAGCCTGACCAACATGGAGAAACCCCGTCTCTACTAAAAATACAGAAAAATTTAGCCAGGTGTTGTGGCACATGCCTGCAATCCCAGCTACTTAGGAGGCTGAAGCAGGAGAATTACTTGAACCCTGGAGGCAGAGGTTTTGGTGCACCGATATTGCGCCATTGTACTCCAGCCTGGGCAACAGAGCGAAACTCCGTCTCAAAAAAAAATAATAATAAATAAAGAACCTGGGAAATTTTACAGATAAAATATTCTTTACTTATTTAGCTATATTTGTATTTATAATAAAATTAAATAGCTAATTTGAAAAAATATGTTAAATGCTTGAAGAACAAAAGGCAAATAGAATTAACATTATCCCTTTTTTTTTTTCTTTTTTTTGAGATAGAGTCTCACTCTGTTGCCCAGGCTGGAGTACAGTGGTGCGATCTCGGCTCATCGCAACCTCTGCCTCCCAGGTTCAAGCAGTTCTGCCTCAGCTTCCCAAGTAGCTAGGATTACAGGTGCCTGCCACAACACCTGGCTACATTTTTTATTTTTATTTTTAGTAGAGACGGGGTTTCACCATGTTGACCAGGCTGGTCTTGAACTCCTGATCTGAGGTGATTTGCCCACCTTGGTCTCCCAAAGTGCTGGGATTACAGGTGTGAGCCACCGTGCCTGGTCTGTTCTTTTTTAAAAAAATAAATAGGCCAGGCATGGTTGCTCACACCTGTAATCCAAGCACTTTGGAGGCCAAGGCAGGCGGATCACCTGAGGTTGAGAGTTCAAGACCAGCCTGACCAACATGGTGAAACCCCGTCTTTAAATAAACAAATAAATAAAGGAATGAATGAAACAACATAGAATTTGGAGTAGGAAATAGCTACTGCTTCTGCCACTGACTGGTGTTACTGTGTACAAGTTACTTGCTCTTAATCTCAGTATTTTCATCTTTAAAATGAGGATAATAATGACTACATGATAAAATTGTTAAATGAGATAAAATGTATATAAAAAATTCTTAGTAAAAGATCTGCAATCTATGAGAAGCTTCTTGTATTTTAGTTTTCTTTCAATTTTTGAGACAGGGATCTCACCCTGGAACCCAGGCTGGAGTGCAGTGGTGTGATTTTGGCTCACTGCAGCTTCTATTTCTT